GAGTTACATCCCCAGCCAGTATCCTATTTTCTAATCTTGGCTCCACACTTTGTGTTTTGTGAGATATAGGCCAAGTTAACATCTCAAGCTTTGCATTGCTGTCAGTCGTTAGGAGAACTGAACACAGCAAAAGAAAAAAAAAAAAAAAAAAAACAAAAACAAAAACCCGGTAGCAGGTAGCATAAAAAACAAATTTAACATTTGTTTCCCTTCTTTTCAGGCTGGAGTCCTGGGAGCCTATCAAGGGTCTAGGTAAGGGTTCATAAGGCTTTGGAAAGGTACGAAAAGGTTGCTATAGCCAGCTAGACTTACCCAATTTTTAACTGTAAAGATGTTTTGATGGGATATTGCTTAACGGTCGGAATGAGAAACCCGGGTGTAAAGAGCAGGCCCTAGAAACAACCACTTCTCCGAGTTACCTCGGAAAAGCCTTGCTTCTCCTCTAAAGTGACTCGGGTGCAAGAAAAGGGAAAGAAAAAAAAAAAAAAAAAAGAGTAGTTGGGAACACCCGAAAACTACAAGTCCCAGAACTCCCCGCGGCAGACAACTACGGGTCCCAGAAGATTTGAAAGAGGAGAGTCTCTTCGGGCCTGCAGACTGGGTTCTTCCAGAGAGGACGAAGGGCGTGCCCAAGCGGCGGCGGGGTTTGACGTCACTGCGTAGACGCCACCAAAGGGCCGGACGTGACGTAGGGAGAGTTCCGGCTTCGGCCTCTGCCGCTGCCTCCGCTACTACAGCCGTCCGCTGCTCCTGCCGCTACCGCAACCGCGGCTTGTTATTCCTAAAATGGCGCCGCTAGATCTGGACAAGTATGTGGAAATAGCGCGGCTGTGCAAATACCTGCCGGAGAACGACCTAAAGGTGAGCCCGGCCGGAGGGAACCCTGCTTGCGGGGCTCGCCCCTTCCGGCTGTGGGGCGCCCGCCGGCCCGCCCTTCCTCTCCGCGGAACCCCTGTCGGGTGTCCTGTCTGGTCGCGGTGGAAGGGTCTTGGCGATGCGAGGCGGCCCGGTGTGACTTGGCGTCCCCAGAGAGCAGGGCGAGCTGCAGTCCCTCTACTGCTGTCCCGGCTCGGGTAGCGGGGATCCCGAGAGATGTCGCGGCCTCAGTCCTGAGGTCGCTCCTCCTGGGCTTCGAGCTGTCGCAGGACTCGGAGCCTTAGCGGCTTTGCTTGAAATATTTTTTCCCTTCTCTACCTCATGCGCGGATCCCCGGGGGTCGGAGCGGAGCCCCAGCGGGCAGTGCTCTCGGGCTGGGGTCATCCCTGCCGGAGGTGACAGTTGCGCGGAGCGGCCGGCGTCTGACAGGATGTGCCGCCGCTCTTGGGACGCGGTCCCAGTGTGTTCTGGTCCCGGCGGTGGAGCTGAGCGGTTTGGCAGTGATGCGAGGCAATGTCAAGTTGTCCCTCTTTCCTTAACGCTCTTCTCAGTTGCTTTTTAGAAGTGCTTTCTTAACGCTAATTCAGATCTGAACCCCATTTCAGAGAACGTTGTTGAGCTAATTTAAATGAATAGACGGTTGTCGTTAAGCACAAATACTTTTTTCAAAAATCATCTACGTCATTTGTTTTGATTTTTTTGTTGGTGCTGCTGGGAATTGAACCCAGGACTTTATGGATGCCAGGAAAGTGCTCTACCACTGAGCTACAGCCTAGCCCCAAGTACAAGTACTTCTGTCCTCTAAGTTCTTTCCCCGTAATTCCTTAACTGAAGATTGCTTGATGTTCTCAAGGTGATGACTTACTATTGTCCAGATAAGAGTAAATGTATGAGTAAAGGAACAAATGATAGAATAAAAGGATGTAAGCTTTTGGTATATGTTGTTTTTGAAAACTGTTGCAGTGATTTTGCTAAAACTAATGCGTAAGTTTTCGGGAGTGTTTGTTTGTTTTTCCTTTAGTACCGGGAATTGATCTCACGACCTCACGCTTGCCAGGCAGGCGCTGTGCCGCTGAGCTAAATCCCCAGCCCTCAGGAGTGTTAATCACTAGTGCTGGTGTCTGTTTTAGTCAGTTAACATTGGTTTACTATGCAATAAGTGGGTAAACTTTTTATACTTTTAGCTGTGAGTTTATAACAGTTTATCCCTCAAGAAAAAAACTACCTTTCTTCAGTAAATTATTTTTCTTAAGGAAATGTTAACGGTATGTGTTTTTTTTTCTCTTCGGTGCAAGAAGTTGATATTTAACAGCAGTCATTAAGTTCGCAATATATAAGGTCATACGTGTTGCTGTGAATGTAACTGAGTTGTACTTACATATTATATGTATATAAATTGTATATGTTATAAGAGAGTCACTCTTGTGGATTTTTCCATTTTTGTTTATTTATTTTCCCATTTTTAATAGGATACTTTAAAATAAGGACAAAAAATAAGGGCAAAGCTTTCATTAGGAGTAATTCAGCATTCATGTTCATCTGAGTCTTTCACTTCAGGTTTTTTTTGTGTTTTTTTTTTTTTTTTTTTTTTTTTTTGCGGTACTGGGGATCGAACTCAGGACCTTGTGCTTGCAGGCAGGAGCTTGTGCCACTGAGCTATATCCCCAGCTCTCAGTTCAGTTTTATGGCATCTTTGTGCTACTTGGTTTAAGAAAACAATATAATTAACATTGAGAATTAACGATTTACCAGTCCAATTATTTAAATACAGTTTGACCAAAAATAGAATTTTTTGGTTACTGGGGGAGTATTGAGACAGGGTGTGTGTCACCCTGTAGTCCAGGCTGGCCTCAAACTCACTTTGTAGCCCAGGCTGCCCTCTAACTGGTGATCCTCCTGCCTCAGCCTCCAAGTGCTGGGATTGCATGTTTGCATCACCATGCCTGGCTGTGTAGGGTATATTTAAAAACATTCAATACATAATTAAACATTATAATCTGGACAGTAGCATCTAGTTTCTTTCCGAATTTTTTTGCATTATTTTCTTTCTTTGAACAATGTACTTTACACTGTCATGTTGGCCTTTCCTTTTTTCCTATTGGTGATATAATTTCAATAAAATGGCTACCAACTAAATGTAATGGTGAAGACTTCAATGATGGATGTCCTGGTTGGTGTTTTGCTATCCCAAATATTTAAATTATTTAGGTTATTAGATGTAATCTAAATTGTAAATGACTTTTTGAACCCCCTTGCTTTGAAAAACAAACAAGCTCCATATTGTTTAGTCCAGAACATGCACAGATATTTTATACTAATACTTTTCCTCACTTTTTTTTTTTTTTTTTTTGAGACAAGGTCTTGCTAATATAGTCCAGGTTGGCCTTCTATTTGTTATGCACCCGAGGGTGGCTTTGAACTCACAGCTGTCCTCCTGCCTCAGCCTCCCAAGTGCTTGGATTATAAATGTGCACCACCACTCCTGGCATTTCCTTGCTTTTTGATTACAGATAGCTTGTTAGATGCTGATTAAATCTGTCAACACATCCATAGAATTATAGTCATTGACCACTATTGGAATTTTTTTAGTTTCATTTATTTTTTCGAGTTATGTCATTTCTATATTATGAACTAGTTGATAATAAGGAGACGGGAAAAAAATGAGACGTCTTTTTTTTTTCATTACATAACAGGTATTTCCTCTCTGATATGCTAACATTTCTCCCTTTTTCAGTTTTTTCTTTTTTTTTTTTGGTTTTTGGTTTTTGGTTTTTCTCCGGTACCGGGAACCAAACTCATGACCTTGCGCTTGCCAGGCAGGCGCTTTGCCGCTGAGCTAAATCCCCAGCCCCTTTTTCAGTTTTTTCTTTTGCAGATCTTTTGGCACTTCCTTCCTATTCAATCTCAGTGTCCCACACGTATCCGTTTTGTGTTGTAAAAGAATATCACTGAGTTTTAGTGAAATATAAAAATGATATCTCATGCATTTGCAATGAGTTTTTATAGATTGTAGCACAAAATTATAGGTTACTTTTCACAAATAAGTACAAATTAGTAAAAGAAAATAACCAGATTTCTTAGATTAGATTATTAGAAGCAAACATTGAAGGTGAATACAACATTCTAAACAAAAAAGTATCCAAGAAATAGTTGATGTAAAACAAACCAATAGAGGTACAAGTGTATCTCTTGCAACCAAGAATCTTGAAATGACACCTGCCCAAGCAGTGCTCCAGATAGTCAGTAGGTAAGCAAATGTGCTGCCAGAGTGATGGTTGGGGTAAACTGTTAAGTGGTTAATTTGTGGACAACAAACTAGACCTCTCTTGGTAGCATTGTTAATCCCTTAGACAAAGTAGAGTATTGCGCATCTGTGAATTGATGAGTTTTTTTCTTTTTTTATTGTGTGTAAAGCTGTCCTATGCTTTGTGTTTATAATTAATATACAGTAAAATGTTTGTTGCTATCAAAATGTCTTGAAAATTAACTTTACTATGTAAATAAAATTTACTATGAAAATTAACTTGACATTGGACACTTAACTGATTTGAACAATAATCAGTGGGATTTTCTCCAAAACTCTTGTTTAATAAACATTACATTTCCTTCCTACCTTAAGGAAATACAATTTTGGGGTTTTTCTTTAGTTTGTTTGTTTGAGACAGGATCTCACTATGTAGTTCAGGCTGGTCTTGATCTCACTGTATAGCCCAAGCTGGTCTTGAACTTGCAGTGATCCTATCTCTGCTTTCCAAGTGCTGGGATTACAGGTATGTGCTACCATGCCCAGCAGGGAATATAGTTGTTAAACTTTTTCCTGTTGAAACACATTTGAACTTATCTTGTATATGTATCTTAATAAACTTTTTCCTCCTAATCTTTTGGGTAACTACTGAGAAAAGAATTTTGGATTTTTCTAAGTAAAGGTTTCTGTTCTGCCCTGGAAAATTTTTTTTTATCAGATTAATTTGCTTGTGCTGCTTGCCTGTAGTGTATTTAAAGAAATTTAATTTTGTTTCTGTTTTCTTGGCATAAAGTCCAAACTAAAAATACAGGCCAAGAAAGTATTCCAGGAGTACCTTTTCTAAGGCTTTAAAGCCAAAATAAAATATCCCTTCAGAGGAAGAAGAGTTAATTGAGGCCACTAATTGAACATAATGGAAAAGATTTGTTCTGCTACAGAAGAAGATGGAAATTTGCCTGTATTTTATTTTATTTATTTATTTATTTTTTGCGGTACCGGAGATTGAATTCAGGACCTTGCGCTTGCCAGGCAGGCGCTTATGCCACTGAGCTATATCCCTAGCCCCTTGCCTGTATTTTAAATAGATTGTAAGTTAGAGTATTGGATCAGACAATAAAGGCATATTTCTAGATCTAATCACAATTTCTCCACAGCTGAATTGGAAATAGTTAAATCACTAGATCGAATCTACCTGTTTTGAGGGAATAAGAATGAAATATATGAGAGTGGAAAACAGTTCAACTTCTCATAAAATTGCTAGCACCCTGCCTCAAGCCTCCCAGAATGCTGGGAGTACAAGTGTGCACCATCATGCCTGTTTTTTTCCCCTTTATTTTTTGTATGTATGTATGTATGATGTATGTATGTATGTATATGTTGTCTTTTTGAGACACAGTTTTGCTATGCAGTTTAGGCTGACCTTGAACTCACTTTGTAGCCCAAACTGGTCTCAAACTTGTGCTGACCCTCCTTCCTTAGTTTCCTGAGTGCTGGGATTACAGGCGTGCACCACCACGCATGGCTTGTTTTTTAATTTTTAAAATTTAGTTTTCTTGAGTTTTTTGTGTGAGACTATTTACTGTGTAGAGTTGTGCTTTTGTCTCAAATGCCTCCGTAAAGGAGAATCCTCCCTTTCTTTTTTCTGAGATACAATAATTAGCCTTTTCTACCTACTTCAACTGCTATTTGATTTTGTAGCCTCTTGTATACAGTAAACTTTGTCCTATTCTGTTTCAGTTGT